TGTCAAAAGTATAATACTCTAGATAGCAAAGTATTAGCTGCTTCAGCACCTGGTACAATCAAACGAAAAAAATGTTAGGGTTGTAAAAGTCCTCAAAAGAGGTGCTCCAGAAAGTAAAGAAGAATGTCAAAGCATCTCTTTCTGAACTGCTGAAGCAGCCATTTCAGAAGCATATTCATATAGTTACTTCAGATGTTGTCCATGGCATTCTCTCCATGTCACAACCAGCAAAACATTGTAACTGTCCATTCACACATGGGAAAACAACCATGAGTACCTTCTGAAGTAACTACACAAGCCTGGGAAAAGATGCAGGTGCTTTAGGAAATTGAAAAGGATACTTCATATGAATCCCAGCAGCTTCAATGAGGATTTGCAAGTTCCTAAATATTTTAATCATATCTTTTTGAGCTCAGAACTATCCATGCTAATCACTAGGCAAAGAAATTATCATTCCTGCATGGAAGAGTCTGTTATCAGTCACCTGAATGTTTGTCTACGGTTTGAAATAAAATATACACAAGTAAAAAATAAAACACAACAAAAGATGCTTGAAAATTATTTGAAATGTATGGCTGACTATAGCTACAAGCATGTTTTGTATAACAATTCTCTTGCACTCTTTATGCATGTGGTAACTAAATATTGATTTAATTTATGAACTTTGTATCATTACACTCTAAAAATTAGTATTTGTCTTTAACTTAAATTTATGTCAGTTCTACTTCCATGGGATGTTTTTCAGCTTACTTCTGCTAAAAAAGATATGGATGTGCTCCTATGATTTTACCTACATCCTTCACTTTTGTCAATTTTGTTATGCTGCAACCTGATTCTACAGTTGTTGAAATTCATTTTTTTCTCATTAATGTACACTCAGTACCCTATAATGACAAAGTGAAAACAGAATTTTAGAAATGTCTGTAAATGTATTAAAAAGAAAAAAACCTGAAATATCACATTGGCATAACTATTCAGACCCTTCACTCAGTATTTTGTTGAACCACTTTTGGCAGCAATTACAGCCTCAAGTCTTTTTGGGTATGACATGACAAGCTTTGAATACCTGGATTTGGGGCTTTTCTGCATTCTTCCTTGCAAATCCTCTCAAGCTCAGTCAGGTTGAATGGCAACCATCAGTGGACAGCCATTTTCAGCTCCTTCAGAGACCTTCAATAGGGTTCAAGTCAGGGCTCTGGTTGGGCCACTCTAGGACATTCACAGAGTTGTCTCTAAGCCACTCCTGTGTTGTCTTGGCCGTATGCTTAGGACTGTTGTCATGTTGGAGAGTGAACCTTTGGCCCAGTCTGAGGTCCTGAATGCTGTAGAACACGTTTTCATTGAGGATATCCCTGTACTTTGCTCCATTCAGCTTTCCTTCAACCCTGACCAGTCTCCCAGTCCTTGCTGCTGAAAAACACCCACACAGCATGATGCTGCCACCACTATCCGTCACTGTTGGGAATATATTGGGCAGGTGATGAGTGGTGCTTGGTTTCCTCCAGACATAACGTTTAGAACTGAGGCCAAACAGTTCGATCTTGGTTTCATCAGACCAGAGAATCTTGTTCCTCACAGTCTGAAAGTCCTTCAGGTGCTTTTTTGCAAACATCAAGCGGGCTTTCATGTGTTTTGCACTGAGGAAAGGCTTCTGTCTAGCCACTCTACATAAAGCCCAGATTGGTGGAGGGCTGCAGTGATGCTTGTCCTTCTGGAACTCTGTCCCATCTCCACAAAGGATCTCTGAAGCTCAGTCAGAGCGACCATTGGCTTCTTGATCACCTCTCTTATTAAGGCCATTCTCCCCTATTACTCAGTTTGACCAGGAAACTACCTCTTAGAAGTGTCCTGGTTGTGCCAAACTCCTTCCGTTTGAGAATTATGGAGGCCACTGTGCTCTTAGGAACCTTCAGTGCAGCAGAAACTTTATTGCAGCTTCCCCCAGATCTGTGCCTTGCAATAATCCTGTCTCTGAGCTCTGCAGGCAGTTCCTTTGACCTCATGGCTTTTGCTCTGCTACAATATGCATTGTCAGCTGTGAGCCTTCTATAGAGAGGTGTGTGCCTTTCCAAATCATGTCCAATCAATTTAATTTACCACAGGTGGACTCAAATCAAGGTATAGAAATATCAGCAACGATCAAGAGAAATAGCGGGCACTGGAGCTAAATCTCAAGTGTTGTTGCAAAAGGTCTGGATACTTATGCCAATGTTTTATTTTAGTTTTTTTCTTTTTAAGATCTTTTATTTATTAAAAAAATTGACAAAAGCGAAGGGGGTCTTAATGCACTGTATAATCAAATCTTGGCTATAATCAAATTTTAAGAGCTGGAGCAATTTTCCAAAAAATAATCCAAGGCATATTTGACCATGAAAATGGCCATCAAAATTATTTTCAAGAAAGCATCTATTAAATCTTTTTCATCCTATGTACAATTTTTTTGATATGCATGCCTCCTTTAAGGCAATCCACTTCTAAAGCATTTTCTGGATACTAATTGGGCAATGTAGTTTTTTACTCAAAAGCCTAACAATTAAAGTTTAAGATATCTTTGTAGAGAGCTCTGTATAAAGTGTATTGCAGAAGTTTATTCTGCCCAGATGCCAACTATTGGGAGGACCACAAATGGCACACTAACCATAGCTGATTCAATTTGATGAATTTCTTACTGGCAATTTTAGTTTTTCGTGGATACAGTGCAATGGCTCTTATTCAGTCTTTCCTTAAATAAGATATTGATATACAGAGATACAGATTTATTAACTCACATGAAATCAGAGCTAGGTATTATTTAGCATAATGATAGCATATCATCCCAAATCACTGGATGACCTGAAAGATTGCACAATGTTCTGAAATATTATGGGAGATAAAATACAGGCCTACTTTATATATCAAAATAGTGTCAAAATACAGAGTAATAGTCCCTTAGCACCACCTTGTGGAAACAACGATCCCAGGTTCAAATGCAACTATTAAATGAATTCCCCAATTCCCATAAGCCACATATCAAGAGGAACCCTACACCTCAAGAGTTATGAATAGTCTACCTTTTCCAAGTTGATGGCGGCATTTAGCATTATGTGACATTCCAAGGATAAGAGTGAAAGAGTAAAGTGGACAAGATCAGAACAAAGTCAAACAAACCACAAGTTAAACATTTGTGGATAAACAAACATTCTTCAACTGGCAATTGTCTAACCTGTATTTCAGAAAAATCTGGAAGAAAGGTATTACTGTCTTAGCAGATAGCATACTTTTGCCATCATTACCTAACAAACTCAAGTTGTCTGAATCAGTTATTAAGTTTTAGGATACATCTTGTGTACATGTATTTATTAAAATATACATTTCTTTTGTCATCATTTTAAAAGTTAAGTGGATAGATTTAAAGCTATTTTTGAACGTTAAGTTTATCTATAATCATAAATGTCAAGTACATGCAATCTGGGATATTTTTAAACTTTTTTTAATTGCTAATTCTTCCAAAAGAACTTGTTTAAGCTAATGGTAAAGCACTGGGCTAGAAGTGAAGGGAATTGAGTTCTAGTCCTGCTTTAGGATAGAACCTCTCTTAGTTCTCGGAAGGCAATGGCAAGCTACTTACAAAAATGTTGCTTAGAAAACTGTCCATAAAATCACCAGGTGTCAACTAACTTGGGCATAAATATACAGATGAAAAAAGCACCTTCTTTAAATAGGTGTTTCCTAATACTCTGCCATAAAATTTTAGAATTATTTGCCAATTAATTTTGGAAGCATGTGTAGAATGAGGTTCTGGGATATAGTTAGTTTATCTTCAAAATAAGTGATGATATCAAACTCAATTTTCTATACTGAAAAGTTTTTTAAAAAATAATAAAATTGTACTCTCCCTAACTTTTCTCATTATAGGTCCACTATCAAGAAACTATAACAGTTTTAAAAAGTCAGTTGGAAATAACCTAGACAATTGGTAGTATCTAAAATGTCTGGAGTTAAAAGGCCGATGGCCATCTTAAAAGGCAGGTAACTTAGAAATAAATATGCAAAAGTTATTAACCTACTGGAAACTAACACAAGGCTAAAAGGAACCTCCTGAATATGCAAGCTATTTATTCACTGGCTTTCAAGTATTAGCCCAGGGGTAACTTCTGTTCACCTTTGGTTACTAGCAGAAGCTGGAATCGCTGTAGTGAATATTAGCCCTTCACCAAGAATTCAAATGAACAATGCTGAAAAAGAAATTCCTTAAAGTTCTACCACTTAAATCTTGATAATAGAGACCAAAGTGGCCCCCCCCCCGATGTCTTTCAATTCAAAGCCAAATTATTGTACCTTTTAGAGAAAACAAATGTTAAAATCATAGTATTATGTCCTTACAGCTTTAAGGAAGACAATAAGACAAAAAAAAAGACATGCCTTGCAACATCTGTATACATGGCTGCTTAGAATGTAAATTTTATAAACCATTTCAGAAAGTTTTAAGGTTCAGATTTTGTAATTCAGTTTCATTCTTTCTGTTTTCAGAAAGTAAGACTGTAAGTAAGAACCAGATATATTCAATTCAGGTTCAATAACCATAATTTATGAGCTGAAAACAAGGAAATAGTTTAGTAACATACATGGTTTCAGAAAGTTGAGAAAAACGTAAAGAACTCAGCTGGCTGAGAAAAAAAACTGGTGGAATATTAAAAAATGTTAAAAGAGCACACAAACTAAATTTATTTTTGTTTTATTTCTATGTTTTTGCCTCTGTCTCCTAAGACTTTTAATTAATTTCAGTTTTAAGTTTCATATGTATGTGTATGTGAAGTATGTATTTTATGGAAGACTAATGAATACTTCTTTGAGTCCCAGAAACATCAGAAACAAAAACAGACAAACACTAACCATAGTGCTGATTTTACAAATGTGCCAAAATTTACCAAGAAATTAGAATTTTTTTAGCCTGATCTCCTGAAATTAGAACTGTTTCTAGTAAGTTTTGCAAGTGAAACAAAGGGGAAAAAGTTATTTACCTGGTGAACCTGAATTTCTACTTTCAGAGCCTCCTGTAGAGTCTGCAACTCCATTCTCTGCCTTCTCCACTTTCTTGAGCTGTTGAGGTTACCAAATCCCCACACCTTCCAGACACTTCTTTTAATGAAAAGAAAAACCTTGCTCTTTACAGTATTCCTATAAAAAGTGTTTTAATAAAAGAAAAGGAAAAAAATCATAAAGTCCTATTCATACAACTAGTCATGAGATTAAGACACACAAGCATATAATCCTATTTTTTATCTCAAGACTTTCAACAGCTTTGCAACATAATTGTTCTACAAAACACAACAAAGAGCTATGCACTTATCTGAATACTGTCCTAAGTTTGATGTAATGTATTTCATAATAAATGTCCATAAAACTGAAAATATATATTCCTAAAATCTTCTATTCAAACAAATGACAAATACTAAATATTCATTATTAATATTATTAAGCAAAATAACTTTATATTAAATGAAAATAAGATAATACTGAGAAACTAAACCACTACTTCTAATAATTAATTTAAAAAAGATCTGTAACATTTTATTTTCAGAGCCATTCTAATAGCCATAAAACAGTGGTTCTCAACCTTTTTAATGCCACGACCCCAACCGGTCGTAAGTCGAGGACTAAACCGGTCGTAAGTCGAGGACTACCCAACTGGTCGTAAGTCGAGGACTTTCCCTGCCTGGGAGCGCCGCGCATGCGGGGTTCCGCCCCCTGCGCCGGCCGAGGCGTAGCTGGCAAGCGGCAGAGACGGAGCAGGCCGACCACCAGCTGGCCCAGCCCAAGGGAGGTAAGGCACCCGCCGGAAAAGGGAAAAAAAATGGCAGACAAAAAAATGGTGGACAGCCTTGCTTGGCGACCCCCGTGAAATGGTCGATCGACCCCAAATGGGGTCCCGACCCACAGGTTGAGAACCACTGCCATAAAATAACTACTAAAAACTACAATTAAATAATTCTGAATCTAGATCTTTTTTGCCAACTTTTCAAGTGTGATATGCCAAGTTTATACTGGTGCTTTAAGATCCCCTTCTGAGAACATTATGTTCTGTAATAAATATTTCACACAATATATTTTATTTAATTGATGTCAGCTAAAAAGTTAACATTCTAAATTCATTTGTGTAGAAACTGCAAAACAGTAAAGCAGCTTACCAACTTTGCTAAACAAGTATCCTCTTCAGCTCTCTAGTCCCCCTACAAAAGAGAGAGAGGAATTAATCCATTAATAATATATCTAATACTTTTAAATAAAAATACAATTAGGAGACAACTGTCCAAAATATCATTTATGAAATTATGATAATATATATTAAGTAAAGAGAGGAAGGAAACTTAGAATTGGAAGAAAGTTCGCGAAGTACCTTTGAGAACTTTGCTATACCAGAACAGGGGTAAAATTCTTTTTCCAAATGGACAAGTATTTTAAATAGAATTCAATCCTTATTATTCCCTTTTGCCTACTGAAAACACCTAAAAGCAAAACCAAACGCCAAACCAGAATGAATTAATGAATTAAGTATTTGTGGGACTGACTGTCATTTGCATTTTCAGCTACCAGAGTAGTATCAATAGTATAGTGACAGTTATTGACCTTTCTTTCTCCGATTTTAAAACCATCCACGTCTTCTTCCAACCCCGCTATCCTCTATATATATCCATCACACTGGTTGACTGGGGCCAGCCTTGTCTTACTACTTCCTGACCTGGAGACAACACAGTCATCCAGACTGTGGCTTCTTATCCTGTATATAGCTTTTGCACAAGTATAATGAGATATTTTGGAATTCCCATTTTCCTAAGCATATTCTACAGCTTGATATGGTCAACAAAGTCAAAGTGTTTCTATAATCAATGAAATAAATATAGACTTCTTTTCAGTATTCTTTGGCTTTCTTGATTATCCAGAATGCATCAGCAAGCCTGGGCCCTGCTAGGGGTTATATGCAGTTTGACCAACACCCCACTTGCTGTAATTTTAGCCAAGATCTAAGCAATTAATAAAGGTATTTAGTTTTTTGTGAGGCTTACAATTTAAATTCTGGGCCTATTTTGAATAGCCAACACTCCAGAAGACAGGCTTAAGATACAGAAGGATCTTGACAGACTTGAACATTGGGCACTATCTAACAAAATTAAATTCAATGGTGAAAAAAGTAAGGCTCTACATTTAGGCAAGAAAAAACAAATGTATAGGTATAGTATAGGGGGTACCTTGCTCAATAGTAATAACTGTGAGCGGAATCTCGGAGCCCTAGTTGAAAATCACTTAAATATGAGCCAGCAGTGTGCTGCAGCTGTCAAAAAACCCAACACAGTGCTAGGCTGCATTAATAGAGGGATAGAATCAAGATCACGTGAAGTGTTAATACCACTTTACAATGCCTTGGTAAGGCCACACTTGGAATATCGCGTCCAGTTTTGGTCACCACGATGTAAAAAAAGATGTTGAAACTCTAGAAAGAGTACAGAGAAGAGCAACAAAGATGATTAGGGGACTGGAGGCTAAAACATATAAGGAACGGTTGCTGGAATTGGGTATGTCTAGTTTAACGAAGAGAAGGACGAGAGGGGACATGATAGCAGTGTTCCAATATCTCAGGGGCTGCCATAAAGAAGAGGGAGTCAACCTATTCTCCAAAGCACCTGAAGGCAGGACAAGAAGCAATGGATGGAAACTAATCAAGGAGAGAAGCAATCTAGAACTAAGGCGAAACTTCCTGACAGTTAGAACAATTAATCAGTGGAACAACCTGCCTCCAGAAGCGGTGAATGCTCCAACACTGGAAGTTTTTAAGAAGAGCCTGGATACCCATTTGTCTGAAATGATATAGGGTTTCCTGCCTGAGCTGGGGGTTGGACTAGATGACCTCCAAGGTCCCTTCCAACTTATTATTGTTGTTGTTGTTGTTGCTGCTGCTGCTACTACTACTACTATTAGTATTACTATTAAACAATGAATAATAACCACCTAAACAGTTCTAGGAAACTTATTTTTCCCCTTTATTCCTTAACATCTTTTTGCAATTGAAGTTTGAAATTCTACACCCTTGTAACTCAGATTTCGAAAACATTAGTACAAATATGAAAAGTAACAAAACATCAAACCGGGAAATATTTCAAAAGCTAAATTTTTAATTGAAATTCAATAAATGACATTACACATATATCTAAAGATGGATTATATCATCACTATCCAATTCTATGCTAGAAGATTAAATTGTGCAAATTTGCTTGTCATATTTTCAAATTACAAAAACATAACAAAATTTCTGAATTAAGTTAGACTGAAAAACAAATCCAGCTTTCAAGAGTCACATAACCCTGCACAATTTATGATCTTATCCTGATTCCACATTCACACTAAATTATCATCTTAGTACACACTCACACTAAATTATCTTAATACACACAAAAATGTAGAGTGAAATTTAATAACTTCATATATTATATTTCCTATTAGAAAGCCCCAATAAATATGTTACAGTATTAAATTATTTATAAAGCATATTGCTTCAAAATACAGGTAATCACTTACAAATTAAAAAAGTAAAATTTAATTTCATACTGTAACCCATGAAATGAAGAATATATACAAGTTATTTAACAGATGAAAGGTAGAGGCTGTATATAGGAATAAAGTATTCCATAATTATGGAGGGAGGGGACATAAAAAAGGAATTGAATGCCTAATATCTTCAAAGTGCTTACTATTTCTTCAAGCAATTTCTGTTATTTCTGAGCTTTAGGGAGCCACAGGAATAAACAAATACAACTTCTATCTCTTTTAATACCTTTTATAGTATTTAATTTAATAAAAAATATAGCATAATTTCTCTTAAATGTGATATATGTATTCTGATTCTAAATTCTCATAATAAATTAACAATAAATAAATAAATCTAAATACTAT